ATCTCCTACTAATTTGCTTACCTTTAAATATATTTTTTAAAAAATTTTTATTAACCCAAATTAACTATTAAAATTTAAATTGGGATGTTACAATATGAGTTAGGTATGAGTTGAGAGATTGATTTTCAGTCCATGAGAGCTTTGAGTCCAAACCTTTTGACTAAAATAGATATAATAAGAGTGGTTTAGAGTATTTTAACCCTATATTGATGATTTTGTGTATAGTTAGTTAGGTGGAGTAATTAATATCTAAAAATTGCCATTAATATGGTTGTTGGGAGAGTTAAGGCTCATTAATGATGGTTTAATGACTTAATGGTGATGATGTAGGTCAATGAAACCTAATAAACCCATTAAGTATGAATGGATAGTAAATTTTAGGATTGACTAAATAGGAAATGTGGAGTTATGGTATTAGAATTTACTATAAATGGGATAATGATGATGCCATCATTATATAATTGTAAAGAATTCATTTTTGGTACCATTAATGCTTGGGAGAAGCTTTGGAAGTAATTTACGAGAGGGATAAACCTTTGACATCTTAAATGTTTGAGGCAACCGGAAAAAACCTAATTTATATAGTTGAATATTAGTTGGTTATTTGTTAAAATTAGATTAATTTAAGTTATGATTTATATTTTAAACCCTTGATACAAATTTGACATATTTGATGATGTGACATTGTGAAAATGCTATGTGTGTTCATGTGTGTGTGTGTGTGAATAATGATGATGATTGAGAATATATGAGCATGCATTAATAGATATGTGGTGTATAATGGTGAAAAAGAGTTTTATATGCTTGATGTGATGAGAGGATTGTATTAATAACATTAATTGGCATAAGTACATAATATGTGTCAAATATGCATCTAATGATCATTGGCGAGAGTTTGCCTAAGGAGAGGAGTAGATAGTTAAATTCACATGGTATTGACAGTGACCGTTGAAATTAGAAACTTGCCTTAGCATCGACCGTTGAAATTGGGGGATAGCCCTTGTCTCATGGTTGATTAGGGACTGTCTCAATTGTTCTATAGTGACTCAAACCTAACTAATCTCTACTAGTTTATGAGGAGGCTAGATTAAAGATATGACACCCCATGATTGTTAGTATTGGAGGAAATCAAATTACATAAGTAAGTTAACCCTAGCCTAATAGCTCCTTATAAGTAAGAGGCTAGGTTAGTCCATGAAGGATGCAACCACATGATAGCCACCAGTTTCATGTCGAAGGTAACAGAAGGGTAAAATATTGATATTTGATCATGCATATAAATCTAGGCACATGTTTATTAATATTGAGGTCCAGCATATGTTAGTGGTACATGATTAGTATTATTGTGACCCTATGTTGTTCATTATCATTTAATATGAATATATGTGCCTTTAGGCCTAGTCACATGATTGTTAATATTGTAAACTGTAGCTAAGTTCATCATATGTGTTGTAATTGTGTTTTCTTACCTATTTGCATATGTTTACAATTGATATGCAATTGTATTGATTAGATAAAACTTTGTTACTGAATAATTATACTCACCCCTCAATTCTCATTATTTTTAGGGCCTAGCTCATCGAATCTAAGTTAGGGGAAATACATAGAGGCTTAAGATTTGTAAAGTAATCCTTTTCATGCCTCTCCTTGTTGTTTTATGTGTATAAATGTTGATACAAGTGCCAATTAGGAATCACATGATATTTTTGTACTACTTGCATTATTATAGCATACAACTTGTGTATTTTGTGTCCTAAATTAGTGAGTTTTAGTTGTAAACTTGTGGATAGGACCAAAATACTTGTACAAGTAGGAATATGTGTAAATTGACTGATTTGTAATGAAAATGGTTTTGTGCAAAGTTTTCTTCCCTCTTATATTTTTTATAAAAGTTGGGGTTGATTAGTAATTTTGTGTTATATATATAAATATATATTTGGTTGTGTATGGTGCGTTGCATAAGTTCACTAGAGTCCATTGAGTGTGATCATAAGGTCAGTGTTGGCTTTTAACACCCGTGGTTGAGTTGGGACACCATTTTCATGGGATTTTTATGATAAAGTGATAAAATGAGTTTTGCTGTCATAACTTTTTATAGAAAATAAATTTGAGTTTGAAATTATGCTATTAGCTAGAGCTTGGAGAAAACTCCATGTAGACACCAAAATCACCTCAATCGAACGTTGGATGAAGATTTGGGATGTGTTTGAAGTTCGCTTTTTGTGCTGTCAAATTGATAGCTCATTACTATCATATTTGTGCAATGTACTGCGGCACATATATCTTTAGTTGCGGTACATGCCACATTTTCTGCACAAAACATAATTTTAAGTTTTAAAACTCAATGTTTTGGGGCTCAATTGATTTCATAGCTTCCGCATTGTTTTAACACTTTGATTTGAGCATAATAAGTGTTTATTAGAGATTGAAAATGTTGCATTTTGGGATCCCAATGTAATGATTTGAGAGTTGCTCCCATTTACATAATTTTACAAATTTGGTAATCCTTTGAGGGGTTTAGTCCTTTAATTATCTCGATTTTAGAGTTAATTGTGGTTTAAATAAGGGAAAACTTACAAGCATCTCTAAAATTTTGTTTTCCTCCTTAAAGGCATAATAGACTTTGAACAAATTATTAAATAAAGTACTAATGACAATATGTCTTCATAACTTATTTACATAGACATGGGCTTGCTCAACATTTGTAAGGGGTTTGGTTTCAGTTAGTACAATAACAATGTTATGCATGTCAAGGACAACAAAAATTCACTCCTGCCATCTCTTGAAGTTCTTCCAATCAAATACCTAAATCTTTGAGATATTTAATAACAACTTGGGAAGTGGCATTACAATTGGGATATAGGTACCAATACCAATGCCTACACTAGAACCAATAGCAATAGTAATACCCTTGAGAATTATAACATGATTTGTGTATGGTTCTATCACTCTTAAAATTGTTAGTAGTAGTGATATAGAATTTAATGTGAATTGTGCTCAAGAACGATGTCCTTAAGAGCTATTTTATCACATCAGTAGAATGTGGCAGCTACCAAGATTAAACAAACCCATCCTACAAATGTACATGAAATAGACCAACAAAAATAACAAGCGAGGAAAAATGTAACTCGAGAGCATAACATAAGAGATAGAGAGAGATGTTCAAAAACTCAAAGGCAACGTACTATTGCACTAGACTCATTCAGGCACCACTATATATATGTTATGAATCAAACAAAGTCATTGTCCAAGTTAAATACCATTAAGCCATTAGTTCAACAAAAATAATTCACCATTAAGATAAACATTATTTAACGTTGGGAAACATTTGAGCAATTTAACGAAGGCATTTTTTTTTATCATCCTTTAATATAAGGATCAAAATTAAAAGCCCAACATTTCATATTTTATGATGTGTTTCAAATTAAAACTAGCTAGTTCAATCAAAACTTTTCTAGTAAGCTTTTTTAAATTAAGAATTTTGATTTATAGCTAAAATATTTTTGCGAAAAGCGCCCAACACTGGATTTCCTTCACAAGTAGAGGAAAAATTAAGTTGTTAGATTTTAACTAAAGTGGCTGATTTTGGCCTACTATTGTGCTTGTGTGACCTCTCCTCTCCTTGGCCTATGTACTAGCCCATTTCACTCTTTAGTATTTATATATTTGAAATTCCTCTCACTTAAGCAATGTGAGACTTGTTCTTTTGACACTTCTATACAAAACCAACATTAACAAATGGAAGTACCAACAACTTAACTATTTGAATCTTGACAAGCCAGTTCCTTAAGAAATAAACTTCAAGGATTTTGATCACAATGACTGAAGCTACAACTACTAAAATTTTATTTTCTTTCAATTCATGTTCATAAAGTTGCATAAAAGTTTTTGACTGTAATACCATAATTTTTTCAATTTATACTCAACTTTTATTATAAATCTCTACACTTTTTTCAGTGTTCATATTTCTATACTTTTTTTCATGTACAACATTAATCTCTATAATTTTAAAGGGACATTGATGTGGTACAAATGATGTTAATATTGTTGACGTGTCCACAAACTATAGGGACCAATGTTGTAGATAGAGTAAAGCATAAGGACCTAACATAATAAAAAAAAAGTGCAAGGATATATAATAAAATTATATCAAAATATAGGGATAAAAATAATATTTTCTCAAATTAAAATAAAATATTTATTCCCAAGATTAAAATGGAAAGGTTACTCTATATATATATATATATATTATTAAAAGAAGTTTAGGTAAGTTAGGTTCTATGACTCATTAATGTTATGACATGCCTCCAAGCTCATAGCACTTATATAGATACTTGCAAATTGCCCACTAATAATTTTCTCATATCTATAGTGATAATTAATTCTATGACTTTGTGTGTTCGTGCAATATTATATGGACTCAACTGCAATTAGTCTACTAGTAGTCAACTACGACTTTCATCATCGTATTATTCAATCTTAATTATAATACAAAATCAATTAATTTCACAGTTTTTAGAGAGCAGTAATTGATATTTTAAACTTGTAGAAAAATATGTGATTTTTTGATTTTATCCTTCACTAAAATTAAAGACTATAATAAAGTGCAGTATATGGTTAAACTTGTTATAATTAAGGAGGGGTAAGGTTAGACAAAAAATTAACTATCACATCCTAAATGTAGGGCAAAGAATCCAGATTAAAATTGATCATGGATTTTAGAAAATTACCCAAATGGTACAACATAATCACTTATATGGGTTCAAACGAGAATATATAGGATTTCACTTCTAAACCAAACACGCATTTATATGTTGGATCAAGTAAAGTTTTAAAATTTTTATCCTCTAATTAGGACTGCATGGAGTATTAACTATGAATTAACTAACGATTAACGATTAACTAATCAATATCTAATTTAACCGAAGACGACAAGAAAAGGAGAAAGGGTAAAAAAAGGAGTTGGCGAAACGAACGTCAACATGGTTTACTCACGGGAGCCACGAAATTGAATGTTTTCGGGAAGTGTAGCCAAGGCGGATTTGGATATCACCCGCGCGACCCCTCGAGCCCATCGCCTTCAAATTGGCCGAAATGCTCGAAACCTAAACATAATTCTAATATGCTTCCTTCTTCCTCCACCTCTCTCAATCTGTATCTCTGATTCTCTTCACAATGTTACTCACTTCTCAACGCCTCTTCGCAGATTCACCTTCCATCCTTTCTTTCTCCAATCTTTACTTCACTAGAAACTCAGCCCTATCCCTCTCGATAACCGTACGCCACCACCTCTCCAATCCCGCTCATCTTCGGATTCTGAAGCTTGGATCATTTAAACCTTACAATTTCAATTCCTTCAGGACTTCCGCTGACCCTTTCCTTCTTAGAGCCTATGATTCCGAAGGTTCTGTGCAGAAGGATGTTGTCGGGGATTTCAATTTGGACTCTCTGCTTGCTCTGGCTGAATTCTTGTGTCTGCTTTCGTCGGCAGTTTTATCCGTTGGTTACGCGGTGAACAGTGTGATTGTTAGCTCAAAGAAGGAGTTCTTGGCAATGGGGAATAAGGCTATTGTTTGGGGTGTTTTGATGTTGGTTGGTGGAGTTGTGATTGGTGCGTGGATTCGGAGACGACAATGGAGGCGAATTTGTAGGGAGACGCACAAGGAAGGCTTGGAGGTTAATTTGCTCCACCGGATTGAGAAATTGGAGGAGGATTTGAAGAGCTCAGTGACTATTGCCAGGGTTTTGTCAAGACAGCTGGAGAAGTTGGGAATAAGATTTCGGGTGACCCGGAAGGGGTTGAAGGAACCCTTAAACGAGGTGAATAGTTCTTTCTTCTTTCTTTTCTTACCTTGCAAGATTACTTTGGATACTGATATTGAACCTTGTAGCTTAGTTTATAATAGTATCTTAATATGTGGAAGATAGAGTAGAAGAGGGATTTTTTTTTTTAATCTGCAGTTAATGTACAAAATATAAATTTTGCTGATACCATCCGGACCCTGGAGACTAATTACGTCATAAGGAAGTTTTTGAGGTTATTGGGGATAGAGAAAATTATTTCACGTAATGAGTAATTATATATATATATATATATATATAATGCATGCTGAAGGTAGTGTATTTTTGTCTTTTCAAATAAGGGAGCTTTATGGAGACATGGCACTTGTAAACTTAATAAACAGAGTTATGTGGGGAGGACGTAAGATGCACAATTTATTAATTGAGGCCATACAAATCATTGTAGCTGTATTTTGATTTTATAGTTGGGTGGTGTCAGTTTATGACTACAGACGCTGAGTTGAGATAACATTTTTGGAAAGTTGCGTAGCTGCATGCTTTTCATTAGGCTTGTTTTAGTTTATACGAAAAGAAAGCAATCTATGAGAATGGGCATATTAGTTATTTGAATTAGAGAAGTGTTTAACGTGTTGGAACCAAATAAAGAGTTATTGTCATTTTCTGATAGGAGTTGATGGTTAATTACTTTTCACTTGAACGTGTAACATGGGGATGTTTTCTTTGTAAGTGCAGAGTTTAATTTTCAGAGTTATTTGGCCAAAATTTGTGAAGTAAAGCTTCATTACTCTTATATTTCTGTTGGATTGCAAGACATGTTTACACCAAAAGGAGATTGTCTTGATGTGGCGTTGTGGTTTTAATTTGGTGGCTATATTCTAGGAGTAGCAATATTTCTTTTCAAAGAAGTTTGAAGTATCTTATTCTCAAGTCTGAGCAGACTGGCTGGTAACTGAAACCTGTATCATGTTAGGTCAATGACCATTGCTCCTGATCTCAATCAATAATCACAAGATGGTACCTGTTTGTCAATGAGACAATGTAGGGATCAAGTTATCATGGAAGTAAACATAATGAGGATTTTTCTTTTCTTCAAATGCAAATACACGTTAATTAATCATTTAGAGCACCTTATTCTCATTTTGAATGACTTGTTATCCAACAAAGGAATTAAAAAACTAATTATACATTGATTTCTTAAAGACTGCAGCTCTGGCACAGAAGAATTCTGAGGCCACAAGAGCATTAGTAGTTCGGTCAGACATTTTGGAGAAGGAGCTAGGTGAAATTCAAAAGGTTTTGTTGGCGATGCAGGTAATAATCATTTCTTAAATAGATTATTTAAACTCTGAAGAGCCAGCATCATGTCCGAGATAAGTTTCATGGTCGTGGTTTGTGTATCTTTGACATTGTAACTGTGTTCTATCTGCTCCCTTAGTCATCAATGTATACTCTAGAGGCTCTAGGCTGGTACATTTTTTGGACCATGTTGCTTGCTTAGTCCACCACGTTTGAGTGGTCTCTTAACTGCGTTTGACTGTTATATGTAGGAACAACAGCAAAAACAACTTGATCTAATTCTTGCCATTGGGAAGACCACAAAACTATGGGAAGGCAGACGGGAAACTAGTGAGGTACAGAGCAAATTGGTAGTATCTAAGTCAGACGAGGATGAGGTAAATAAGAAGGAAATTCACCAAATTTGAATCTAGGGTAGAATTAAGGGAGGAAAAATCTGGGATTTTCGATGAAGAAAATCTGTTGTTATTACAACATTCTTCCTTTCACGCTGTGTATACTGAACCATCAATCATGACACATTGAAATTCCTGGAATTCTGTCCGCACGGAATCATGGTGTCTCATTTTTCATTGTCTCGAGTTTGCTGAGAACGTTGTTACTGACGAAGTGAAGTTGCTCAAGACAAACTAATCCGGGATCATTCATATGCAGAAGTATGTTTGTTTCAACTCATAATTATATCAGTAAATGGTTCATTATGCTAGAGCTCATTCCTTTGATTCAAGTTTGTAATTTTCTCGTAATCCATTTACTTCATGATCTAATGGTTGCGCAATTGATCGACTCTATTGAATAAAATTCCATTTTCACTTGTTTTTTCGCTCTTAAGTCTTTCTGATTTGATCTTCGTACCAAAATATATTTTCCTTAGGTACGTGAAATTTTTGCATACAACCCTTTTTATATATACATTTTCTGACACCCAGAAAACATGCCTTGTGAAAGAAAATGGGCAGGATGATCATATATTTTTTTCAATGGAAGTCTGTACTGTTTGGGTCAATATCCAAACAAAATGGCAAGTACATTTGAATTGTATGTAAAACTTGGAGTTCTTGGAGCTCAACTTACTTAAATTTTTCTCTACAAAGGAAAAAAAAATAAAAAAGAATTTGACAGATCGACTGGTTTGACTATTGTTTATTTTAATAGACAGCTTGTTTTATGTTAAAAACCATTTTGACGGTTGAATTGTTTTGGACTAGGGATTAAACAGGAACCGAGACAGTTTTACGAGCACTTTCATATCATTTTCTTTCGTCGTCTTCTTTTTTTTTTTTTTCCTTTCTTGCCAACAACTTTCCTATCTATTTCATAATAAAAAATCCAAATTCATGTGAGGATAATCTAAAATTCTATAAGAAGTTCTTGAAGTCTTTTACCAGAAACAGAAATAGTTGTGGCCTTTGCTCGTTCCGGACAATACAGTTTATTAGTCTTTTATACTTGCTCTGTTTTTGGGACAGAATTCGTACATTAACTTTAAAAATTTATGACTCATTCTACAGAATTGCTTTTGATCTGATTCTTGACGTATTTTAAACCTTGACAACTCCTCTATAAGAGAAAAATAAGAAACATGACTTTAATTGAGCCAAGTGATATAGTAAATACATTTCCTAAAGTTGCTTTGTTTCCAACATTAAATGTCTGAATTAAATCCTTCACTTAAAAAGTTAATAACTCAAGCTACAGAGTACCAATTGATTCCGTTGCTAAACAGACTTTTCCTACCACTTCCATAATAAAAAATGCTTGTCCTCTCTGCCAAAAAATGTCCTTTCTCTCTCTTATTCCTTTTTCTCAACTGATTGGTTCTCATATCACTCATTTCTTAATATGATTACGAGTTTTAAAATTTTAACATCATTAACAGGCATTTTTACAATTTTTCAGCGCTCTAATATGATAAAAAATTTATCTCATTTTCCTTAAGTACTAATAGAAATATTTGAGTTTATTTCATGTTAACTAACAATTTGATATTTTATTTTTTTATACATATATTGTTGTATAAAATACTATTTTTTAATTTAATTATTATATCATTGATCAAACCGATTAAACTATTAAACTAGTGATTGATCAAATCGATTGAACTATTAAACTAGTGGCATAGCAATATTTTTAGTTTGATGTTCAGTTTAAGTTTTAAAACATTAAACAGGTTGGGTACTTTCCCAAGGATATCTTTGATTTGTTCCGGTTCATATGCTTCCTATAGTTTTGCATTTTTAACATAATTTTTAAATTGTTTTGGAGACAACTACAACTGAATACAAACCCACACATGTACACCTTCCCCCTACGAAATAATTTTCCTTTATTTTTTTCTATGAATAATGGTACGTTTGGAATGAACAAGTTTAACATTTTGCATTCTTAATATTTAATTAGAGGAGTTTATAAGGGCTTTGAGGCTTTTTTAATTAGAATTTTGCATTTAATCTTTTATTGAGAAAGATAGTTAAAGATTGTTGTTGTTGTTGTTATTCGATAGGTGAAGTGTTTAAATAATCTCAAGAGAAGGTAAATTGGACTAATTAAAAAATTAAAATAAATTTGCAAAAATAAAGAGAAAAGTGTAGAAATGATATCACTAAACATAGGAGATGATAGAGAAGAGCTTTATACAAATGATTTATCCTAATTCGAGTCCTAATACCTAAGTCTACATTCATTCCTCAGGAACCTCTTAAGATTTTTAATTATATCGCCAAGATTAAATTGGGCTCTTGATTGCTTCAGTACATTAACAGACTTCTCAATAAGTCTGAGTCTCTTCCTCTTACAAAAGTAATGCCAATTCTCCTTAAGCTTCCCGAGCTTAGATTCCTCTGTTTTGATGAAGTAAAATATGGATAAATAAAATAAGTTCAAGAATGAACTACTGCTATTATAAACTCTCTTTGAGAGTAGACATGTAATCAATGAAGCTCACAAACGATAATGTTTCATAAGAAGTTGGTAAAAATTGAATTCACAATAATGATAGAATTTCATTCTTATTATCTCTTCGGTTCCCTTCCTTGTTCTTTATAAATGACTCTATTTATAGTTGAGAGTTATAAATGATCCGTTAAACTTATAAATCTTTCCATTGAAAGTTAGTTACACTTCATCTTCTGCTTTTATCTAAGCTTTTTTGGATATCCAAGCTTTTTTGAGTTTTTCCCATGATTGAAGTAATGTAACAATACTTTACGGTGAATGTTTCACTTTACACAAGGTAACAGCTACAGACATTAAATGCTCTGACAGAAATAGGTGAAGGTTTTATATCGATGTAGCATTTTAGCACGAGTGTTATGAATAAAAAAAGAATCACAAAAAGATTGATCCAAATAATAATTGTGTTTAGAACGATTTTAGAAAAATAATAGAGTGAACACAATTGGTTACAGATGAAAAGAATAGTAAATGAATTAGTTTCGAAGAGTTTAGGATTGACAACATAAAACAAAGCATGAAATAACAATTTATACCGATGATATGGAGGTTAGTACTGGTGCTGTAATGAACAATAATGATATCTCAAATGAAAATAGTACAAGTGTTATTTTGATAGTACTAGTATAAAGTTTTTTGAAAATGACAATGATCATTTTCAATTTATGGAGATAAAGAGATTTTCTCCAAGAAGGATCGCTAGTACAGGTGCTACAAAACAGCATAGGCATTAATGAGCTGTTTGAAAGAGAATACAGAGATACATCACTAGTGCTATCAAATAGCACAGGTGTTAAAATGGCTTAGAAGAACTCTTTCAAAGTGCAAACAATACATGTGTTGAATAATAGTACCGATGCTATCAAACAGCACAAGTGTTAAACAAGGAAGCCTTGGACACAAGACAATGATAGGTTTTGAAGAAATTGGAATAGCTTAGGTGTTGAAAGATAACATAGGTGCTAACACAAACATAGCACGGTGCTAAAAGAACTGTATTGAATCCATAAGCACTTGAGTGAAAAACCAGAAAACGAGTTTAGACAAGATAGACATATAGCATCGATGTTAAGAGCACAATACCAATGCTAAAGACACTTGGACAAAAACTGAAATTCCAGAAAGTGAAATTTGACAAGAACAAAGCTGAAAATCTTTCACAAGGATTTTTAAGGATCCAAAATGCACATAGTTAAGTCAAATACTTAATTAAATCAAAAATTTACAAAGAATAAGTATTTTAGAGACAGGAGGACAAAAAAGATTGAGTATATGATTCAAGGGTAGAAGTGCTAAGGTATTTAGGTCAAATTCATGTGGAATGCTTGGCCAATTATCTTATTCTTATATAATCATGATTAATTAATCTATAAAATATAAACTTTTCTTTATTTTATAATCATCAAAACTAAGGTTCAACAAAGTGCCCTATTATTATATTCTCTCCGTTCTAGTTACAATGCCAAACTAATTGAATTTAAATAAAGTTTGATATATTTAATTGAATTTTGTTGGATTTATACAATATTAATTTATTTTTTTTATTAGGTTAAATAAATGAGCAACTTCTAAGATTGAGGAAGAGAATTTTATGTGACAATGGATGTGAATAAGTGTTCTTACCTATTATAGTTTTTAGCTAAACAGGTAGCCACCTGCCTATGCCCACATGTACTCATTTTCACCCATTCTATAACAATTTAAAATGGGTCTAGGAGGATATGGGCGAGTTTTGGCTACCAATTTAGCTTGTAGCACCTTTTTTTAATAAAAAAATAAAAAGAAATTCATCTCATTCCAACTAGCACCATGCATATATAGAATGATTCTAAAAGTTTAGACCTATAAATAATATGAGGATAAATAATTTAACCCATTGTACACCAACAAATGATAATAAAATAATACTAAATCACCAACTAAACAATAAATAAATAGGATCAATAATTTCATACAGTAATAATCTTGGTGCATTAGCTTTATCATTTAATCATTCCTCACACTACAACCCATCAAGCCGACAAATCTAGAAATTCAAAGAGCACTATAACTTCATGAGTAAGATCATTCTAAAAGTTTAAACACTAATACTAAGTTCCAACTTCAAATAAGTTTGAAATTGAAACTGCATTATAAAAGTTAAGAAACATAATGAAGTTTAAATAGCACAATAATATCCAAGCACATACAAACATAAAAGATTAGTGATTGGTATATACGGGTGGGTACAAGCCATTTGTAGCCTTATCCATTACCTGCCCGTATTTAATGCCTACCCATCGCTTTACCTATGACCTATTTCCCCCTTCTAATATGGATATGGGTTGACTTGTTTGGCAATAGGCTGGGCAAGCATGAGTAAGTTAGTGAGAAAAATGCTTACCCTTAAATGTGAATTAATTACAAATCATGACTAAATAAATATGAAAATGCTTTGCAGGCTATTGAGATTAACATGACAAAAATTTTATAAGGCAAATGATTAAAGTATCCTTAATAGAAATGAAGAAAGATAATGTGAATCACTGCCTAACATGATTTGTTAAGTTTTTTATATTAATTGATGAATTTTGAACATTTCTCGTAAATTTATTTGGCCCCAATTAAATCTTTAACTCATTAAATCATTTTCTTAATTTGTATTTGTTAAAAACGTTACATTACCTTATTAATACCCCCACATTACTTGATATTAACATGACAAAAATTTTATAAGGCATTTTCTTAATTTGTAAATTACTTGATTTTGAACATTACTTGTAAATTCATTTGGCCCCAATTAAATCTTTAACTCATTAAATCATTTTCTTAATTTGTATTTGTCAAAAACGTTACATTACCTTATTGAGATTAACATGACAAAAATTTTATAAGGAAAATGATTAAAGTATCCTTAATAGAAATGAAGAAAGATAATGTGAATCACTGCCTAACATAATTTGTTAAGTTCTTTATATTACTTGATAAATTTTGAACATTACTTGTAAATTTATTTGGCCCCAATTAAATCGTTAACTCATTAAATCATTTTCTTAATTTGTATTTGTTAAAAACGTTACATTACCTTATTAATCCCCCTACGTTACTTGATTGTTAATTATATTGATTGTTAATTATCTAATTTGTGTTAAATCTATTACAGACTTGTTAAATTATTAATTTGTAAAATCCATTATGTTACTTGTTAAAAAATACTCCTTCCATTTAAAAATACAAGGCATTTTTTAAGAAATTAAATGTTAAAAATTATAAGATATTTTTAGTCTTTTGAGGTATAATCATTACTCTTTTTTCAAAAATGACCCTACTGATAATGATTTTATATTTATTATAGAGTGTTTAATAGGAATAAATATGAAAAGATAAAATTAGTTTGAAAGTATGTAACTACTTTATTGAGGGATAAGATTTAATTGAAAATATTTTATATTTTTTAATGGAAGGAGCATAGCATTGCATTATGTTGCAAAAATAGCATTATATGAGTAGTCAAGAATTTATCAAGTAATGTAAAGGATTTAACTAATCATGTTATGCATTCAACAAATCATATTAAGCAATATTAAGCCATGATTCATATTCTATTTCCATATTTTTATTAAGGGTACTTTAATAATTTGTTTTACAAAATTATTTTCATTTCAGTCTCAACAGCCTACATATTTTCAAATTTTTTGGTCTTGATTTTTAATTAAATTACATTCATGCTCTTAATATGAAATTCTCCCTTTTTTATAAATGAATAAAATAAATTACTAAAATTCATGCACGTGGAAAAAGGATTACTTATTTAGTTCTGTTCATAATATGAGCATGATGATAATAGGCTTAGAGTTCTGGCTTGATCATTAACAGGTTTTGGTTAACAACCCAGAATTTCAACCCGGAAGCCCAGAACTTAAAAAAAAAAAAAAGTAAAAAGGGGTTTGCTGCTTCGCGTTTTGTGGAGTTTGTACTGCTTTGAGCTCGTGAATAAAAATGAGGTGTCCATGAATGTTCATGAGAAGAAGAGCATGAGCAGCGAAGCAGGGCGATAGGCCAAGTCGGACTCTTCGTAGTTGCAATGGATGAATTAATGCAACTAGAACAAGTACAGAGTATGCTAGATTTTATGGGATCTCGGGGCTTAGCGAAATGCCCAACCAGCTCCGATCACCCGTCAAATCGCTTCCTCGCTAATCTCATGATCTTCTTGGTAAATGCTCCTTAGAGATGGGAACAAAGTTCCCTATCGTATTTCACCCAATTATGTTCTGATAATAATGCTTCTTCGTCGACAATAATAAGCTTTACTACGTGTTCGTGTAGTATTGTTATTGTTATTATTAATTTGCCTTTTGTGCTTGGAAATGGTATGGGAATTAGATACAACCTTGTGGAAAGCTTGACTTGGACGAGAAATGCAGCTTGGTTTGTGAGTTTGTGCCTAGAGTGAGTTACAGAAGCTGATTTCTTTGCTTTCTTATCTCTGCATGGCATCACTGTATCAGTAGTCACTGGATGATATTTGATTCTAGTTCTATCCTTTTGTAGCTCTCAGCTACTCTTTTGGAGGAGGCGTCTCTTTGGCTTTGTCGAGGTGGTGCTATGAAAGAAGAAAATAGCGGTAAAGGCCATAATCTTTGCGCTCCTTTAGGTCTATACTTTCTTGATATCTTGACTATTTAATTTCTTGCTACTCATTATTGGCGTGCTCATCTCATGGATTTTTGACTTCTCTGGTATTTGGTTTCTTGAAAAGGAGGGAAGAGAAAGAAAATTGCTGCCAAAAAAAAAAGAAAGAAAAAAAAGGAGTTGGCATATAAATCATTTGAAAAATTTTAGGGTTAAATAAATGTAACTACAGGCACCATGTTTGTCCTGTTCTCTTTCATGTTATAAGGAGCAAACCACTACAACTAGAAGCAATTTTCTTCTTTCTCATCCCGTGTTGTTTCCAAAAACCAGGATGCTAGATAAAATTGGCACTATGTAGTATAATGGTAAGCATCTGCAGTGATAGGCTAGAATTATATATCTTCCATATCATGGAGTTTCATATCTGCTGAAGTTTAGTAACAGCTTCAAGATGTTGAGAACCTTGTGAATGATGTTTACAAGTATTTCTCTTACCATGTTTCTAACGTTTTTCTTTTATTTACCCCCTTGATATGCTTTGTTGCTTCTCGATTTGACTTTGAACTTATATATTTTTCAGGATTGTTCTTGAACTTTAGCTGTTTTTGCAGGTTGTCAACAAAATCTATTTGGAAAGTCCTTGCAGCTTAGTTGTGATCAGATGACATATGATAATCTGTTGCAAAATGATGATAAAAACCTGGCCATGGTTAGGCTGGATTCTATGCAAGATGCTAATTCCACTCTTGAGGATTTTGTAAGCACTGTATTCAGAAAATTTTCTCTGCTAATCCTGCTGTATTGATTTATGTTTTAGATTTACTACTTGTTGATTGATTGAGCAAATGCCCAAAAAGTTGCTTACTCTTACTCTTATTGGAAAACTTTAGTGGATTTAACCATTGTCAGAAATATCAGGTTTGCACTGTCAATTGTCATATTGTTTAGTGGATGAAAAATGCCAAATATATGGTATTCTAAGTTTCTTCCTAGCTTTCTTCGAACAAAACTTTGACACAGATCACTTTTGACAGAAAAGGATTAATATGTGTGCCTGGCTTTCTGAAATCTTGAGTCTGTGATTTTTACTATTAGTATATTCATTGCTAATAGGGAAATCAACGGCAATAACTTGTTTTTGCAGTGCAGATCTTATTTTATGTTTCATGGGTTGGATGTCAGGAAGCCACAATCCATATTCAAGTACTTACCAATACTTTCATTCACAGAGAGTTACATTTATCAGGTAAACTCTAGATTAGTTTGATTAAGTTCAGCCATTCATTTATTCATCATTGCCAAGTATGCGGCATAAGTTCCAGTCGACTAGGCACAAAATATGCTCAGCATATTGGTACTGGCACTTCTTTTGTTGACCATGAGTACAGGCACTTTATTTAGTTCCTCTAGGAAGCATAATTTTTCTATTGACAAGTCTTGATTCTTATCCAGCTTGTATTCCTTGCTTCTAGGACAGAGTCTCGTTTGTAAGAACTAATGATATTTTTGGTATGATAGAAAATTTTTTCAAAGGTATGGGATGGGTATAGAAAAAGTATAGTTTGGTTTGCATGAAAAATGAAAGGAAATATCCAAATGATGTCCAGTTTGATACAAGTAGAAAAGGAAGGGAAATAAATAAAATGAAAATAACCAAAATAACCTGATTAAAATTATCAAGGAAAAAAGACAAAAGATGTTTATCCGTGCAGCTGTAGCCTCTTGCATCGAGAGAAGATTGGTCCAGAAGGTGTGGAGCACTTTGGAAATTTTACATCCATTTCATTTGCAAACAGCACCATTCCATCAAAAGAATGTTGAATTAAAATTTGGCTGTTGGTATCCTTAGGGAATGGGAGATGGAAAGCAATTCAAGCCAATTAAACCAGTCCCTTTCCTTTACATGCTATTCCCTTAAACCAACCATAACGTCGGAAGAAAAGGAAAGGAAAAAAAGTGAAAACAGAGTTTGTTGGAAGTGACTACTAATAATGTGGTTATATTACAACTGATGGTTGGGTTGAGTGGAATAGATTTATGGTCTTGGTTAAAAAGTCTTGTTGATGGAGAAAACACTAAGAGAGCTACCCCAAATTTGAAACCTGACAATGCTTGAATTTGAATTAGTGGGCAGTATTAAATACTTGATGGTTATCACTTGAAAGAATGTGGTTTTATTTGTTATTCTTTAGGGATTAGTGATGCATTGTTCAAATAATGAGTATTTGATCTGTAAAAGCCAATGTGCTGAGAATTTGCTGTTATGATGATGCAGCTGGATAGGATGAATGAGAAGCTATTGCAAACACCAACCAATGGGGAGTCTGTTTTTGGAGGAATATATGACGTAATCTTACTTGGGACTTGCACAATGATGATTTGAATCTTGTTTTGAGTATCCATCTAACCAGCTAGAGTTAATTTATCTGTATGTAGAAAGATACGCAATTGTTGATTTCTTGCATCTCGAAGAATCCATTTAGACCACTTATGACTCTTCTTGAACTCAAAGGCCTTTCAACACACAGGTATCATTTATGCCTTCCGTACCAAACAATTCTTGGGGCATAGTAAGGGCTGAACTTATTATTTCTCTGTTCTTATGGATGGGTTAAGAATAAGAGAAGAACTTAGACAAGGAGAAGAGTATTGGGCTCTTGAAAGGAAGCTCTGTCATGCACTGGTAAATAAAGAGGAGGTATACAAACAATATTCTACTTGCACCTTTGAAAGAAATATAAGTGCCTGTTTCAAACCTAACTAACACTATGCTACTCAGATACTAGTTGAAGATGTGATGAAGGCTATTCATCTAAAATCTTTTGATTATCGAGTGATGAATCTTCTTCTGTACAAGCTGCGGGGTGAGAAGGTAAAACTGATCACCATAAAATATTCTGCTGAATATTAAGTTATTTTATACTGTTAGGATTTTGGACGTGCATCTGTGTGCATGTGAGTTTTGTTGCTGCCCCTCGGTCAAACATCACTTCATTTTTTTGCTCGGCATGTAATTTAGATAATGCTGATTGTGTTATATAATACTTTTGCTCTGGTATCCTGATTACTGGAAGAGTAATTTACACATCTGATATTTTGTACAAAAAGTAAAATGAATCTGATTTTTTAATGAGGACTTTGATATTTGGTAATTATATTCTGATTGTATTCTGTCGAATCTCACATCCACCTAGTGGGATAAGATTTGTTATTGTTGTATTCTAAGTAATGTTTGTGACATAATTATATTCTGACATAAATTTTTAATGAGGACATAATTTTTTGAAAAATAATAGTCAATTGGTTAATTTTGTTCTCCTGAAGCCGTTTTGAAGGTTGAGGAGTTGCATATGGAGTTTCTTTCAGTTTCAGAGTTCTTAGTGGAAGTTGCTGATGATTTGTAAGTGCTATCTTTTTTTTGTTTGTGCTTCATTGCATGACCACACATACATTTACATCCGGCTTTGGGCGGAGTTTGCTTTTTGCCTTTGCGTCTGCTTTTCTTTTACTGAATTATCTTCCTTCACCCTCCACAACCCAAAATAAAGAAAAAAAGAAGAGAAAAACAAAGAAAGAAAGAAAGGGGGAAAAAAATCCGAAGAATCAAAGGTTTTAGGCATCATAATCTCATTAATCATTACAATTTAAGATTTTTTTTAAGAGGGATAATAAAAAGAATTGAAAATATAAAAACAGTATGGCCACAGCGTTCTAGTCCAGTACGTGAATGGCTTCTAGCAAATTTCTTCAAACATCAAATATCTTAAGAAAGCAACTGTTATTTCATAGTTATGTCTGCATTTATCAGTTTCAATTAACAGAATTAATCTGGCAATGATGCAGGTATGACTATGAGGCAAGTTCACAAATCTTAACTCCATGATTACCACTTATATACGACACTATCTGAATTGACTAAAAGAAAGTTGTGCAGGATGATGTGTTAGAGAACAATTTTAATGTGTTGCGCATGTTTGTCAGAATATATGGAGCTTCAACAGCCCCAGCTATGCTGGTGAGTATGCGAAGCAGATTACCATCATTGTTGCTAATTTATAATTAGCTTTAGTATGCATACACAAATTTGTTGGCTAGCTGGTTCCTGTTACAGTTTTTGAAATATTGAACCACAAATTTGTTATATAGTTGGGGGAATTATTGTCCACTTTCAATTTTTAGATTAGTGCACCTTTTTTTGGCCGCTATAGACCGACGGGACAGTTTGATTCCTATTTATTAGAAACCCTTGTAGGTCATGGTCATATGAAAACTTACCATGTTTTTTGTGACCACTAAGATATCTGCCGTGTATAATTATAAATTGTAGGCCAAGTGCATCAGTGAAGCTGAAGACAAGTATGACAGTTTACTAAAGTCGCTGGATCCATGTCTATCATTGAGCTATCAGAAAAGATGTGAAGAAGCTACTAAGGAAGGTAAATTGCAACTAATAAGGCCTTTCTGAATTTATGATACTGTAATTAGACCTTCTCATATAGACTTCCATGATCTTATTGGCAACTGAACTTTTCAGGTGGAATGATATCTGGTCACGCTCATGGCACGTGGAATATACCAACAGTGATAATAGATGAGGAACTGTATAGATCAAAGTGGAAGTCTAATTCGTCTGGGTCTTGGCTGCCTCCTTGATAGTAGAATCTGAAAGAAATCTCACGTTGTAAGTTATTCTGAGCATTTCTGAATGGAAAAATCTCACAAATTTGTAGCAAGAATCTGTTGACAGAAAAGTGCTACTTCAACTTATGAACCCGTCAGCCCAGCTTTCTGTATTTCTAAGTCTGCATTGCAAGGCCTCGATCAATTTTCAAAAGTTCAATTATTTACTTAATGATAAGGGTAAACGAATGATAGTTCATGATAATTCAAAATCTTATGATGTGTTATCTCAAAAAAATAATAGTAAGCGAAATAGCCTTGCAAGTTCAAATAAAATTCAAAACTTTATCAAAATTCATCATCTTCTCTCAATTCAATTGAGAGGTATTTATAAGAAAATCCTAATGGAAACTTAAGCCCAAGAACTCATCATAGGCTATTAGGAAAACATCAACTTAAAAAAAACTTAATCAAAAAAAAGGTGCGAAAATACATTGGAAATAGAAAAACTGAAACGCAATTAACATAAATGGATTATAATTGGACTAATTGGATTGTTTTTTATGTAATGTCTTTCATAGGCCCATTTAAGACCTTTTTAAATTAAAACTGGAGCTATACATGAACAAAAACTAACAAAATTACAAGGCCACAAAACTAAACAGCCAAACAACATAGCACTTTCCATCATCCACCTCTTCTAGAGTTTAAAAAGGTTGATGATTAAAGGAAGCATAAGAATCAGCACTAACAGACCCGATAGTTAAAAGAGAATTAAGGTAACTATTATCATTAAGGCATAAATAAAAGAGAAACACCAATCCCGTAGCATGATCTCCCTAATGTCGGTTAAGATTGACGGACAAGGTCAATGAACTTCAGAAAATCTAGTAATCATGTCGTAACTTTAAGCACAATGAACTCTTGCTTTAATAGCATGGTACCCCTTGGCCCAGCAGAGTTGCAAACCTAGCAACAATGCATTAAGGACAATAACTTCACTAGAACCGTACAAGTCATTGTTGAAAAAACCCACCTCCCATGCCTCAGCACTATTCCAAATGATGCTCACACCAGTACCTCGACCTCCACTTGTGATTTCTCCAAGTACATCAAGCCTATAAGCACTTGTTACTCTCTGATCTAGCAGCAAGTGAGGGGAAGTATTTCCTTCTCGTACATAAAGCCTCTCCAAAAAGTTTCTCATCTTGGACCGCTTTGTGTACACAGGTTTTGGCAATATGTTGCACATCATATACATCATTTCCTAAAAACTGAATTACACCTATTTACCCATAGTTCCTAGCGGACATAAGTAAATAGAAGTCTCCATGGTATGCTTTTTATTTGGGGTTCGCCAGATTCATTCACCAAATTCCATTTGAGCCATTGATGAATATTCCCATTGTTGAAATTTATCCACTGCTCATTGTCAACTAATTGTTCTTAAGTAGTCTTCACTGCTTCACATTCTCTAAACAGATGGATTTCATCTTCTATGTATGCACAACCTTGATGACACATGTCTAATTCAGCAAGTCTCTTATGATGTCTCAGTTTTGAAGTATGCATAGCTTGATGAGCTGTAAGCCATAAAAACATTCTTTTTTTTTTTTTGGTACTTTAAAGCTCTAGATTAAACTCCAATCGGATGTTGCATCCCTTGACAAACCTGCATTTGAAAAAGGGTAGGTAGATCTAATAGAAAAATAATCATCATCAGCAAGCTTCCAAATGAAATACTCTCTCTCACTCAAGTTAACTCTTGGAGTAGTGCAAGTCAGTGTGTTCACAACATTATGAGGGAGCAGAACATTCAGCTTTGACTTGTCCTAGTCCCTCGACAGCAGAATGTAATCAGTCATCTTCTCCTCCAAATCCACTAGCCCCGTAAGGTTTGGAGTGGAAGCTATTAAACTGGTATTAACACTAGACCAAACATCATCCAAAATAAGGTATTTTTGTCACAACCTTTCTAGTTCCAAGGCCTGCTCTGAAGTTATCCAAGACCATAACAACACTTCTCTAGGTCAAAGAAGTTTTTCTTTCTTTCACCACTCAAGGGATCCTTTCATTACCAGAGTTATATTTTTCCTTAAGTGCTTGAACCCAAAGTTTATGAGGTTGAGTCACTAAAGACCAGCACAACTTCAAAACGTAAGCTTCACATTGTCTTCTTAGCCTTTTAACTCCCAGGCCACCATCAACCTTCTTGTTAACAATTTATCCCAAGCAAGGAGGTGTATTTTTTGCTCTTTTCCGTATCATATAAATCCTCTGCTGAGCTTTTCAATGTCAACTAGTACTTTCTTAGAAATAAGCATACTTTGCATATAGCAGCTTGGCATGGTAGAAATAATAGCTTTGAGCAAGGTGGTACGTCCAGCCTAGTTCAGAAATCTCCCTTTCCACCCCATAATTGTTTCTTTGTCTTTGCTGATAAAGGATTAAAGTCACTTGAAGATGCTCTTTTTATGAAAAAGGGAATGCCTAGATACTTCCATGTAAGTCTTCATTATGCCCATTAAGACTCTTTCCAGTACTATTCACGCTCATGAATTCCCATGGCAAATTAGGGTATGCGTATTTGGGCTTAAATGTGCAAGTTTATTACCCAATTTACCTCCTCCAAGTGTATACTTATGTGTTAGGCCTTTAATATGGTGATTTGGGCTTCCACAACACATTATAACCTCTTGATTACGAATATCTTCCCTTGAGTTTCCTCTACTTGGATGACTTGCCTGTAGGTGACTAGATGACATAGCATGCCACCTAAGACATGGTTGCCATGTAGGATTTGATTGCCACATATATTGTCATCTAGGACTTCTTTGCCACATAGGACGCCAATTTGAATGCCACCTAGGATGATAAGTTGGATGCCAACTAAGTCGCCACATAGGATCACATCACTTAAAGTTTCATTCGGAGCCATATTGTATCAGTTAGAATTTGGGATGCCTGATGTCCTCTTTGCTGCTCCCTCAATTGCTCAAAATCTCAACCTTTTATTTGAGGGAATTGGATGAAATTTCTCTAACTATTAACTAAAATGAAGGGCTGAGATCTTGGGAATTAGAAGTAGCAGCAAAGAGGGCAATAAACACCCGAAATCCGTAATGAATTTGGGATGTCTGTGTCCTCTAGGGCATTAAAGGAGTATGCAAACACCCAAAAACAGTCATACATGATGCCAATCTAGAGTGTACCTGATAAATGTTTTTCGTAAATTTAAGTTTGATAAATATGATGCTTTGTGAATGAAAGTATAGGTCCGAATGTATATATTGAATGTGGTGTACTCATATCCAAAGTCTTCGGTCTCTTGGTCGATTTTTATGCATAAACTTGAGTTCTTACATGCAAGATTTTGTCTTTAATTATGTTAATTCCAGTTTTTGGCCAAAAGAAAAGGTTATGTTAATTCCAATCTGAAGTGCCCCCCCCCCAAAAAAAAAATATTTGTATCATTAGATCTTACTTCAAGATTTTTAATCCAATTTTGCTAGTAAAATAAATATCTTGTAACAAATTTAAAACTACTATTAATAGGATATGTATTTGGTAGCAAGGGAGTCCAGGCTACATATTACATCTATATTATATGATTAATCCGGCAAGAGCACCTATAGTTTGACTATGAGACATCCAGATGAGGTTTTCCAATTAACTAACAGCCATGGTCATTAGTAATAATGAAACCCTAGTTAACCAGTCTTAAAACAATATGCTTTTTCAAGAGAAAAAAAAAATTATTCAAATTGATTTTCAAATTTGTGCTTCAATAATCTTACTTATTTTATATTAAAGATTAAATTTTAAATGTTTGAAGGTATGATTAAATTATGAAAATTTTATATTCATTAATACAACTGTGATGCTATAAATTGAATTATTTTACAAATATAAGCTGTTTTAAATGAGATATTTTCATTCGTGGCCCAAAAATGTGAAAGTTTTAATCAAATAATATACATAAATTAGTTCATTCAAAACAAATTTAATTACTCCCTTTATTTAAAAATGTAAGATATTTTTAATTGGATATCACTCCTTTAACAAAGTAGTTGCTTATTTTTTAAATTATTTATATCTTTCTATATTTATCCCTATTTAATAAAGTGTTTCACCTTAAAAAAAATAAAATAATCTATTCAATAGGGCATTTAAAAAAAAAAGATAATGATTACACATTAAAAGACTCAAAATATTTTACATTTTTGAACATCTAATCTCTTAAAAAATGTTTTACATTTTTAAACAAAGGGAGTAACTCTTTTTTTTTTAGCCAAAATATGAAATATATTTTTCTCTTATCTGATTTTACTTTGAATTCATTAATAAAAAAATATAACAAGATAAATAAAAATTATTTTGAAATACAAAACAATTTTTTAATATTTTTATTTAAAAGCATAAAAAATATAATAAACATAAAAAAGATGTTGATGAAATAAAAAATGAAGAGCTTCCGTGAGGATTTACATGAACGATATGAATCATCTCCACACATTCTCTCTGTTTCTCTCTGCTGGTCTCAGGACATGTAATGAATGTATCCATAATTTTGTTCATTTTTAAGGTTCCACGAGCGGATTACACAGGAAAATTTTAATAGCTAATAATGCATTTTGAAGTAAAATTAAAAATAAGAGTTGAGCTTAGATGATCAACCTAAAAATCTTATTTAAATAAGAGTTCGAGCTGAAAAAATATGAGGTTTTTAGGGTAACCAAACTTTTAAATCTAACCTAATAAGTCTTGAAAAAAAAAGACTTGGACCCAAGCAACCATTCAAACCTTGTTCAATTTTTTCCCTTGTTTCTTGAAACGCGCCATTTGGTAAATGAAAAAAAAAATCCTAAATATTAAATCATTTCAAATTCTCCAACTCTCTTTGTCTCTCAACTCGATCTCTCTCTCACCCTCTCCTTTTATCTAGTTATCTTGCCTCTCTCTCTCATCGCTCCGCCAGCCCTCTAACTCTCTTAGTCTCTCGACTCACTTTTTTCTCTCATCTCTTAACTCAGTGTCTCTAAAATTGACATCTCTCTCTCAGTATCCAATTGCTTTAGTTTTTTTTACTCTTTTACTCTCAAGTAATTTTTCTTCTTGCATAGACCTTTTTTTAGGTCATGGTTGTTTGAAATTTTAATTTGATACTTGCTTATAAGATTTCAACTTGATTTGAAAATTTTAATTTCTCATCTTATCCTGTGATGATTATATCAATATGGCTCATTTATTTTGTTTCTTAAACTTTGTTGTGAATTATGATAGCACCAACTAATATGTATTTAAGCTTTTAAATCTTTTATTTATTTTTTAGTTGATATGAACCTTGATTTAGTTTATGTTAAATTTTAAAATGAAATTATGATGTTGAATTAAATTATTTTTTAAAAAATAACATTAAATTATAATATTAATTTTTTTATTTTTTTTAAACCAGCTTCTAAGCTTAATCTTGAATCCCATCAATAAGAGTCATGCCTCAAAATACTATTAATTTTTTTTTTAATACAAAGTCACAGCAAGCTGTGCAGAAAAAAAATTAAGTCAAATCAAGTCCCATAAAAATACGGCACCCTAAGGGTGAAATATCAAAAATTAAAATGTTAGTACTATTGTTCGTAGCATGTCGAATAAGTCAGTCTATACATTTGTTGAATTTTTTAAATGCATGATTGAAGGTGATAATCCAATCCTTCATGACGAGGCATCTGATCTTTTTTATTGTGTCATTAAGAAGATGGTTCAGATTGTATTCAGATTAGATTAGCGCCAAAAATTTTAATGAATCAGTATGAACATTAACTTTTTTAAAATTGCTCCTCCAACAGTACTATTAAAATTTAGAAAATCAGGTTTCAAAACTCAAGCCTTTAAGGGCGGGCTCATAAGGATTAGGCACTAAAAAGCCGGGTCTATCAGCATTTTCATCTCTGCTCTGAAGCATGGCGTGGCTAAGGAAGGATTTAGATGGTGTTAATGACGCTGATGGCGGTGGCCAGCACTAAGCAAAAATTGCCGGAAGTTCCTTGCTATTGTGGCGTTTACTCCGTACTGCTGTATCACACGCTTTGTATCGTGTAGGGTCTTCATCCATACGATCATCAATGTTTTTTTTCCCCCCTTTTGTGTCCGCATTCCTTCAATAATACAGATATTATAATGTGCAGAAGTATTTAGATGTGACTCAACCCTTAATTAATCAAGCCGCCTCATTTTCAAAAAATGAATAGTGATGTGGCTCTCTAGTCAAGAGAAAAGACAAACAACGATGCGGCCTCTCCAGATTGAAAAATGGGGTGGGCATGTTTTTCAAAATTAATTTTGTATTCTCTCACTTTCAAACTATAAATCTCAAGTTTAAATATATGAATTAAGAAATGTATTTAATATATTAAAATATCATTACACTTGTCTCTAATTATTATGTCGAATAAATTAAAGTTATTAGAATAAATATATAATAAAGAAAATATTAATTGATATTGTTTTAAACTTCTAAAAAGACATATATAATAAAATAAAATATTTCCTCATCAAGATTGTAATTTTTTTATTACCAAAAATTTAGGTGAGTCAAGTCCTTAAGGCTCATCAGGGTCAAAGGATGTCTCTAGGCTTAAATAGTATTTATAGAAATTTTTACATATTATTCACTAATAAAATCCTTATATCAATAATAGGACTTAATCTTATATCCTTATATATTATGAATCAATTTTTTACCAACTAGACAAACCTTTGTTGGTTCATCAAGATTATATTTTGAATCAAAGGGAATAATTATTAAATATTTGTTATCCTCTCTTGTGAACCGGATGACTGAACTAAAAGAATTAGTTAAGTTAGTTCTTTAATTTGCAAAAAAATGTGTGTTGATGTCTTTTATCCCTCCTTTCAATCGTTTATATTGGAAACTATCCTATTGATTATTCGGTTGTCTAGAAGATAATTTCTTGGTTTTAAATATAAGTTACTCCCTCCAAACTACAATAAAAAGCATTTTTTAAAAGTATTGCTTGATCTAAAATATAGAGTATTAGATAACTTTTATAATTATTTTTTAACTATATTTCTATGTTATATTTTCTCTTTTTGAAAAAAGAATGCATTAAAATTTTAATTATCATTATCAAAGCACTTATATATGGTATTTAATGAAATAAAATTAAAAAGATGTAAATTTTTTTAAAAAAATTAAAGTTTCAACAAACATTTTTTTTAGAACCATAAATTAGTTTTTAATATCCTATATTTTGGTCTGTAGGGAGTACATTCTCCAGTTATTAATGAACATTTTTTTAATTTTACCCTTAGCAAATTAATAAAAAGAGACTTAATTTTAATTTAGTGATTCTATGTAGCTCCTTGAATGTTGTGTTTTTCTTTTTCTTCAATAGAGGCAAAGATGAAATATTTTTAAAATTTTAAGATAAATTTAATAAGTTAACCATATTTTCGTAGTTTATAAGATATGATTGGAAATGATTTATAATAAAGATTAGAGGATGCATTGCACACGTTGCAATCAAAATGGATTGAGAGAAAAATAATAAATACGAAAAACAAATGAGATTGAAATATTATCAAAGCAAACTCTCCAACCAGCTGCAACATTTAAAATCAGAAGGATTACTATATGGAGTCAAAATCAAAATTGTAGTTAGCTGCGAATTTTTTTTTTTTTTTCCATTCATGATGTCTGAACTCTCCATCTTGCCTATTAAAAATTAGGTGACTCCCGCTTAATCCAACCATCTTTATCACTGGTTCCATATTTTCATCTATTTAGACATTGATCTTCATCATAGTCATAGAGATACAGATACTATACATCAAAGACAAGATCAGCATACATAGATATAGTTTCATCTTTCTTGATTCTTTCCTTGAAAATATAAAATCAAGCCAGAAAATGAGTGCCGGGAAGCCACATGCAGTCTGTGTTCCGTTCTCGGCGCAAGGCCACGTAAGCCCTTTTATGCAACTGGTCAAACTCCTCCATTGGAAGGGTTTCAACATAACCATGGTGGACACGGCGTCGTATCACATGCGCCTCGTCCGGTCCTTAGGACCCGACTTCGCAAAAGCCTTGCGGGGTTTTCGGGTAGAGACGATACCCGACGGGCTTCCTCGGTCGGGTCGGGACGTGAACCCGGACGTGACGGAGCTGTGTGAGGCGATGAGGAAGAACTGCTCGAAGCCGTTCAAGGAGCTGGTGAAGAGGATGCAGAAGGAAGGAGGAGGATTCGGTGCGGTGAGGTGCATCATAGCAGATGGGGTGATGAGCTTTGCGATCGAAGTTGCGGAAGAATTAGGAATACCAGAAGTTCAGTTTTGGACTGCCTCTGCTTGTGGCTTCATGGCCTATCTCCAATTCGATGCTCCTATTCACAGAGGCATTGTTCCTTTCAGAGGTACTTCTTTTACTTTCCTTCTTCAAGACACGTCCCTTGCTAGATGGCAGTTGGGTACATATTACATAGAATTTGATGATAAATGAGTTTTATTGTTCTACTTCCAAAATTTTCCCAGAACTGTAATTAATGTTCTAAAGTAATCACAAACATAATGTCGTCCGACATTTTTAGAAATAGTACAAAACATTAATAGATTCGGATGTTATGTTGGCAGCCACATGTCAGTTTTTTTTTTTTTTTTAAGCTGTCTTTCATGGCTATTTTAAAAAAATTAAAAAAAAAAAGTGTTCATTGTTTGGCTGTCCTCTTCATCCGATCATAGCGTCGAAGGATCTTTGACAGACCATGGCTTCCTCGTCTTCTCTCTTCCTCTTCGTCACTGCTTTGCCTGAGCTTCTTCTTCTGCCCCTCACTTGTCCGATTTCTAAACACTGTGGCTGTCCCAAGTCAAAGGATTCAGAAAAGAACCTGTGAACATTCAGAAATTCACAGAAGAGCAGAACAAGCGAAAGATATCAATTGCATTTCTTAAAAAAAAAAAACAAAACAAAACAAAAATTAAATTTATACTCTAACCCATTATTAATATACATTGTAGATTTCATATATGTCCATAATTTATTTTTATTTTATTTTTTATAATTTATGAAAATAATATACTCGCATCGAACATCTTCTAAAATCTTAGTCTAAATTATCAAATATTAGATAATTTTTATAATTATTTTTTTAAAATATACCTATACTTCATTTCTTTTTATTTTTGGAAAAAAAAGATGTATCTAAGTTTTAATTTTCATTATTAATATACTTACATAATATATTTAATGAAAGTATAATTATTAAAATATCATTTTTTTAAAGAGATTAAGGTTCTTAACATTTTTTTAAAACTATAAAGTGGTTACAAATACCTTTAATTGTGGTACAAACTACAAAGGAGTATATTATTGTGAATATAAGGATGAAGTCTTTATAGTTTTATCTAGGATAATTAGAATCAAGTTGGATATAAAAAAATTAATTATTTATTTAGTCAATCATATTTAATGTTTAAAAATGAAATTTTAGTATTTACATGCGGCTGGGACTTGTGCGTAATTCATTTTTTATTAGGGAAATGAATGTAATTTTTATTTTTATTTAATTTTGGATTTCATTTTTGTAAGTAAAATGTTTTAATTAAATCAATATGAATTTTGTTTTATTTATTTATTTTGAGGAGATCCTTTGCTGTCCAATTTTTAAGTCTCAATTCAATCCTGTGTTGAAATTTTGTTCATATTCCTGTCCTGTCTTGACTTCTCATCCTCTCTTCACGTCGATTCTGTTACAAGGAAACGGATTTTTTTTTTTTTTTCCGTCCACAGTCCACACAGACACATATTCAAGTTTACAAGAAACACTGCACGCACAGAGATCAGATTACATATGGACTAGAGGGTATGAAAATTTCATAATCTTGTGTATAATATATAATATTCTTTTTCATTAATTATGAAAATTCATACTTCCCCTCAGACTCAAATATAAGATACTCTTTATCTACATTACATTGAAAACAAGCTGAATTCACTGCAAAATTAATTAAAATATTAGATAGGGACCTAATGTATGTGCGTGATAATAAACTAAACAACATATAAATTAGAATTGCGCATCTGATCGGACTGTAATTGCTAAGTCATATTGAGCTAGTCAACATAGGTCTTCCTCTCTATACCCTTTCAGAGTTATACGGTTTTTTGTAGGAAAGTACGCATTGAGTTTGGGTTTTAAAGAGGACCTAATAACCTATTTAATAATTCTTACTTTCTATCAAAAAATAATAATAATAATAATTCTTACTGGCCTCGCCCTCAAGAGGCTTAAGATTAATGGCCCAGACTTCACTTGCTAATCAAGTACAATGGATAATGTATTTAGTCCAACAAGTATATGATACATAAAACTATAGGGATGTAATTTTTTTCTTTTTTATGAATAAAAGAAACATATTGAAATAGAAGTTCAACATTAAAATCAACCACAAAAAACTTAACGTTGGCCCAAAAAAAAAAACCACAAACAAACATTAAAAAAAAAAAATAGTCTAAGAAATCCTCTCATCATCCACCACCTTGGTGATGGATGATCAAAAGTCCAACAAGGATAGTCTAAATCATGAGAAGCTCTATCTAAGAAATTTGCATATTTATGGGCTCTCTAATATTAATACAAAAAATAACTAGCCAATCTCAAAAGTAAGTTTCTAATGTCTAGAATCTCACCATGGAAAGGATGGTCAGCAACATTACCACGCAAAATCAGATTCAAAGCTTCTATAGTACCACTGCCCACTTCAATCTTTCTTAGAGCTTGATTCCAACATAGGTCCAACCCAAGCTTGATTCCAAACAACTCTGCTGTAGTAGGAGGGCTGGGATTATTCCTGCTGCAAAAACCTTTCAACCAATCACCTTTATGATTTCTAATTACTCCACCACAAGCACTGCTTTTGGTCCCTTCTAACAAAAGCATCAGTGTTAAGCTTAACAAAACCTTCTCCTGGAGGGGGCCAGGGATGTAATATTTTAGGAACCACTAGTTAACCCATCTTAGCAAATCAATAAAACAATCTTGTGAACCCATACAGAAAATTCCAACATTCACAAGTAGCAATTTCTCATCTTGTTGTAGACCCTGAATCCATTACCGAAAGCGCACTGGACTTGCCTGTAGATTGGATTCCTGGGATGACAAACATGAGACTCAAGGACATGCCAAGTTTTATCAGAACCACCGACATTAACGAGACAATGTTCGACTTCCTACGAGCAGAAACACAAAACTGCTTGAAATCTCCTTCAATCATCATCAACACTTTCCACGACCTGGAATCTCAAGTCCTCGAAGCTATCAGAGCCAAGTTTCGTCCCGACATATACACCATCGGCCCTCTTCCATTGTTACTCAGACATGTTCCTGAAAACCACCTGACCTCCATACGACCAAACTTGAGGAAAGAAGACTCGGAGTGTCTGAACTGGCTTGAGAAATGGGAACCCGGTTCGGTGTTGTACGTAAATTATGGAAGTTGGACCGTCATGTCAGAGAATCACTTGAAGGAATTTGCTTGGGGCTTAGCAAACAGCAAGCGTCCATTTTTGTGGATAATAAGGTCTGATGTGCTGATGGGTGAATCAGCGATTTTGCCGAAGCAGTTCTGTGATGAGATTAAGGAAAGAGGTTACATCACAAGCTGGTGTCGTCAGGAGAAGGTTCTTACTCATCCATCAATTGGACTGTTCTTGACGCATTGTGGATGGAACTCGATGACGGAAGCTTTATGTGGAGGCGTTCCTATGATTTGCTGGCCATTTTTTGCTGAGCAACAGACAAATTGCAGATATGCTTGTACACATTGGAAGATAGGAATGGAGGTAATTATGATAAATCCATAAAATCATGAGCTTTTGTTATGGATATGTCCAATCAAAATAGTGTTGTCCTTTTTAAGTTCAGGTGAAGGAAGATGTGAAAAGGGAGGAAGTTGCAGGGCTGGTGAGGGAGATGATGGAGGGAGTGAAAGGAAGGGAAGCGAAGGAGAGAGCAGTGGAGTGGAGGAAGAAGGCAATGGAAGCTACTGATACTGGAGGATCTTCCTTTCATGATTTCAATACCTTCATCAAAAAGGCTCTTCTTCATTGTTGATGAGCTTTAGTTTTGGCATGTATGTCCAGAATCTTTCTTGTGTTAACGAGAAGGCTAGGCTCTAATATAGAGTTTCCTAATTAAAGCTGTAATGGTCCAAAAACTGATAAACTCTATTGCTGTTATAGTTTTGTCCTTTTGCATTGTTCATGGTTTTCTCCTTTGCTAAGGAAATTTAAACGAAAGTTGAGTATGAATTATTTAATTTTGTTGTGTTTGGCTTAGGTTAATGGGAATTTAGATCTAAATTTGAGTTAAATTTTTCATAGGTTAATGGGAATTTAGATTTAGATTTGAGTTAAATTTTTCATAATAATTTAAATTCTTTTATGTTGAAATTTTCCAATGTAAATGCACCATGAAAAGTTGAAAAACGATAATTTAACTGAAGAAAGTTAACAACTGAAGCGGAAAACACATACATATGCATGCGCTTGAACAGAATCTTAGGCAAAGGAGACTCTGGACTGGAGGTGAACTGTCGTTTTGGCAAATGAACTTCTGAATATGCATATGTCTAGTAGTATTCATACAGATCATAACAAATCAACAGCGGGGTGGTGGCGCAGTTGGCTAGCGCGTAGGTCTCATAGCTTTCTGAGTAATCCTGAGGTCGAGAGTTCGAGCCTCTCTCACCCCAACTTTTTCATTTCCGCTGCTCCAACAAGCAAATTTGTTACAGTCAGTCATCAACGTGCACTTTGCAGACAATCAGATAAACATCTCTCTGGTGCGACCAAACGAAACAAGACTAGATCCATCAGGTTCTTACATAATCTAGAGGAAACATCAACAGGATGGAATGCTTTCTTGCAAAGGACATTAGAATGTGTGGACATAGAATACCATTTTCGAACCACAATATATATGTAGTTTTTTAAAAGCTCTTAATCTAAAATATGGGGGTATTAGGTAAATTTTACATTTGTTTTTTCATTTATACCCTTCTTTTGTTTTATTTATATATTCATTGTCTTTAAATGCTTTATATTTAAAAACTTTGCACATGTTACTATAAACTCTTAAAAATTACAAATGAAAAGATGTAAATATTTTTAAGAAGTTAGTATTTTAACTGGGAGGAGGTGTCCCAAGAGAAAGAGATGAAGATTTGTTTACACCAAAAATATAAATTTTGAGGTTAAAATCCAACTCAATTTAAAAGACCTTCAAAATAATTAAAAGGATAATAATTAAGAAAATTCTAAAAGCTTTATTTACTAGGTCAAAACCACTACTCAAAATACAGGGAAGTGGCCAACATGGGGAGATACTTCCTAAAAACAAAAGAATTGGGCAAGTGAAGTAACTTGAACACCAAGTCAACAAGGGAGACTCCCTCCAATCTATTATCATCATCAATCATGATGAACATGCATCAATTATAATACTCAACAGTGCTCTTAAACATAGTGTTGTGCTTTTTATTTCTAACTTGACTTTAGCTTTTATCTTTCATTTTTTTTTTTAAATTTTTTTAACCTATCTAACCCTTTTCTTGTAAAGAAAGGAGTTCCACACCTATGTAACACTCACCCTTCCAACACGTAGTACACAGCACTTCTAATTAACTCTCACGCACAACTATTTAATTTAATTCCCACCCATTTTTAAGCCCACAGGAGATAGAACCTACAACGCATTGATTCAGAGTGAAAAGCTTATGCCGTTGAACCCAGTGATTTTTGACAACTTTTATCTTTTTTATTTACTAGCAATCCATTAGCCTTTACATCCTAGTTGTAGCCAATATTAAATCGTGCACCCTTTTTATTTAATGCAATTTATCTTTCCATTGTATTTAACTTCCATCTTAGCATCCGGAAAAATTGTAATGAAGGACCCTAAAAGCCCATTTTCCATTAATAGAAGTCTTCTCAACGGCTTTGAGACTGTTTGAATCTCTAGCATGCCTAGCACCAACTAAACGATTTTTTTCACCAACAAAATTATTCGGACAAAGCGGAAAATACCCGAAACAGGTTGGTGCAAACTTAATACAGATGACCTAAGAATTCAGGACGGATTAGCTGGATGTGGAGAAGTGATTAGAGGAGATAATGGGGAGTGTCTGAGAGGCTTCTCTCATAATATGGGCATGTGTGGAAGTATAATGGCTGAAGCTTGAGGTATATTGGATGGACTGCAACTTTGCTGGGACATTGGCTTTAGAAAGTTGGGAGGTTGAATGTGATGCAAAACAAATTATTGAGGCACTACAGAGGAAGAACAACATTGACGGATGCTTTATGATTTCAATGAAGATTCTAAAACTGATGAATCAATTTGACCATGTGTATAGAGAAGGCAATCGCTGTGCTCACACACTTACTAAAATGAGTCTCTACAGCGGGAATACTGGATATCATCAAGGAAGATTGAATAGGACCTGTATTCCTCATAGATTACTCTGTGGTGTAAATTGTAATGTGCTTCTACCCCTTGTTTTCATAATAATAATAATCCCTCCATTTCAAATTATAAGACATTTTTAAACAAAATTTCACATATCAATAAATCTCATTAAATGCACTTAATAATCTTATCTTTTCAAAACTAAAATATAAACTTTTAAAAATACCTATTATTTAATACATTAAAAAAAGAAGGGATAGAAATTAATTATAGAGATAGAAAAAGTAATATTGAAATTAGAACATTTTGATGAAACATTAATCTACCCAAACTGTCTTATATTTTGAGACGGAAAAACTCCTTCAAAAATGGCCTATAGTTTGGAACGGAAAGAGTAATAAATAAACATTCCTCTACAAACAATAGGCATAATTCAATGCTCAACTATATTTTAAATAAGATTGTCTCTAATAAGATAATACCTATGCACAATTAAAACAAGAAAAAGAAAGAATGTTAGCTCCAATGAAAAAATTAAAAGTGAAATTTTCTTCCACCCAGACGCACCATCTGATGGATTTTCCATTGGCCAATTTTCCACATACCAAACGGACTCTAAAACTTCAATATTAATTTTCCATACGAGAATACACGTTTCAAACAAAGGCACTAAGTATGAATGAATGACAGCAAACAGGTGGCAAGTTATGTATGTGCTCCATTGGTCCTATTTATAGGACAACAAGAGAAGATTAATTTTAATCATATTTATAAGATATTTCACTATTTTTTATATTTATTTTTACGTTTTTGCATTTATTAAATACTAAAAAAATTATTAAGGGGTACAAATGGATATTTGTTGAATATTAAGGCAGAATTAATGTTATTTAAAATTTTTCTTAATTTCAATAAAATATGTTAAAAGTAATTTATAAACAGGACAAAAAGAAATATTTGATAACACAACGTGGTGCGATCCTCTACCCCAAATGCTCACAAATATGTTCTTCTCCTGACATGAACAAAAAAATTAGTTTATTCCTGCAAGCATGACCGCGAAGATTGAGATGAGGTTCCGATAAAAACGGGAAAATAATATCCATTCGAGAAAGTGTTTATTTGATTCAAAATTATCAAAGAACATCACAAATTTAATCTAGACATGACAATGCATCCCAGATATGACTTATAACCCAAAGAAAGAAGACAACTAAAAGAAGCCTACAATGTTCCAAACCTTTCCAATGAACCATTAGAAACCTAGTTTCTACTCTACAACCTCGGCCTCCGTCTAACAAGAACTATACGGCTATGCCTACACTACCAACACATGTTTCACGAACCCACAATTCTTTTTTCTTTTCTTTTGTTTTTCTTTCTTATTCCCAGCACAACTCTACATTTCAAACATCTACGAACAAGTCCACCACGGGAAGTGTCACTGTGAATAAAGTTGCATGCACCAGGAGAATCATATTTATGGGGTTAAGAATACATCATATGGAAATATAGGTCCCCACAGCATATTATCTCCTAGTTGCGGCAGCCTTGCCTTTGCTTAAATCAGCAAGCTCCTCAATAAGCTTCCTCTCTTCACTGTTCAGTCTCTTAGGTATTTCAACTTGCACACGAACCAATTGATCACCCCTCATATTGCTTTTATTCAGAAAGGGAACACCTTTCTTTGCCATGACGAGGGTCGTGTTGGGTTGGGTCCCAGCTGGGATTTTTAAATCAACCGTTCCATCTACGGTAGGAACCTTGATTATCGTTCCCAATATAGCATCAGTGTATGACACCTTGCAAGTGTATAGGATGTTAGTGTCATCACGCTTAAGGACAGGATCTGGAATGACTTCAATGACAACAAAGAGGTCACCCGGAGAACCACCTCGTCTTCCAGCATTCCCTTCATTTCGGACCCTTAAACGGCTACCAGAGTCCACACCAGCTGGGACTTTCAGACTAATCCGCTTTGTTCTCCTCACTCGGCCATCCCCAGAACATGCATTGCAAGGTGTTGAAATTTCTCCAGTTCCATTACATGCAGAGCATGTCATTGACTGCTGGAAAATACCCAAGGGTGTCCTGGTTGATGAGACAACCCGGCCTTGGCCTCCACAGGTGCTACATCTGGTTGGCGAGGTCCCTGGCTTAGCCCCGGTACCATTGCAAGCTCCACAATTCTCTAGGCGGCTTGTCTCCATCTCTTTTTCTACTCCAAAAACTGCTTCTTTAAAGTTCAAGACAAGACTGTAGTACTCATCTTCACCATCAACAGCTCCATTCCAAGAGCCTCTGTTGTTCATGCCACGATTCATGCCCATGCCCTCAAACAGCGTCTCAAACAGATCAAAAGGATTACTGAAATCCTGTCACAACAGAATAAACCATTCTTGAGAAGCAGGAATATAAAAAACACAAAATTCCCACAAAAATATTCAGTAACTTACTCCCATGCCCATTCCAGAACCTTTAAGCCCAGCCTCTCCGTATGTGTCATATATGGATCTCTTCTCATCATCTGATAAGACCTGCAACAAAATTAAACTCACATGAGGCCACTTAACACCAGACACACATAAGGACTATCAGAGTTCAATCCAGTAACATGAACGTGTATTTGTACCTCATATGCATTGCTGATTTCCTTAAATTTCTGTTCTGCTCCAGCTTCTCTGCAGCACAAACAAAAGTGAATGATGTTTACCAACCAAACAAAAGTGTTTGAACTTGCAGAACTGTCATTCACATTAATCCCAATTCAATTTGAACTTGAGGTGTTTGCAAGGAAGTGCTTCGACAGAAGGACAAACGTCACAGTGAAAATTCCTGAGTCGCACATAAGAGCCATCTCTAATAGATT